ATAAAACATATAGATAAAATCATGTAAAATTAACTAAAAAAATAAGACAAACCATGGCACACCAACAGTACTGCATTGATGATGTGTGTACAGTTGTTATCCATATATAAATAAAATACTAATTGGATATTTTATTCTTCTGCGTGGAGGCTTCCAGATTATATTAAAGGCCAATAATGTGGTAAACTTTTAGGCCTACATTAGTCCAATATACATCGAACCTAAAAATAAATCAGGTTCGTCTTAACCTCGTAAAGGAGAGAGAGAGAGAAGGATTATTTTACAGAAAAAGACAAAAACAAACAGTAGCATGCTGAAATATTTCTCTGCGCGCGTTATTTCTAAGATATTAAATAAAACTACCGTTAGACAAGATGGTAAAAAAAAATTAAAAATTTTGAAAAATTCAGACACACTGCTCATAAGAAAATACTGGCATTTTCTAATGTTGGTGTGGAGGTTCTTAACAAGTAGAAAATCAAATGAACAAAGAAGATCGAGAAAAGCGAAACTACATGTCTGAAACGAAACAAACATTGTTTTTTTTTGTTGTTGTTGATGTTATGAAGTGGTGTGCGGATTCGATCCAATGTTGAAAATAAAGAAAATGCATAACTCGAACTCTACAGTGTTCACTTTGAGTTAATAAATAGAAGTATTTCTGTAGAATAAAAACCGCCATTGGTAGAATATTATGCTACGAGGGAGTTCCGATACCTAGTCATTCTTTAGGGTAGAATGAAGCTCATTCGGTGGACAATGTCATCATTTAAAACAACGATAGTAAACAGGCAAACGGGTATTAACAGCACTAAAGGTTAATTATACCAGTGAGCTTATATTATTTTTAATTTTAAAATAAAGAACGCGAAAATAAGAGGCCGTTAACAATCTTTAATTACCCTAAATATCATAAAGCATGGAATTGTGCTGTTAAAATAAGTACTTTAGATTAATAATTAAAGGATGACGTTCACATAATCACCAGACACCTGGATACGAAGCCAAGTAGATTAAAATCATAATTTTTCTTACGGCTTTCTACGCAAATATCTACATAACTTGCATGAATCCTTCCATGATATAATTCGTTCTCCCATGTATAAAATATAGCATACGTAAAATAGTGCGTAATTATAAAACCTCAAATTTTCCTTTAATTCTTTAAGTAATGTACTTAAGTTATGCTCTTTTTAAAGACATAAAAACTTCAAACTAACCAACAGGAGACATCTGAGATTGCAAGATTATTTCTTACCTTTGGAGCCAGATCTAGCTTTGATAGCAGATTTGGTTGGTTTTTCAGCTAAAAAACAAGAAAAGGAAAATTAAGGAAACTCACTTTAGATGCTGAAAAATTATAGAAGTTGTCACTGGTCTCATTCGAGTCATCCTAAAATGATATTACTTAAATAAGAGGAAATATATGAGTAAGATGGTGTTTGGTTTGTTAAAGTAAGTCGAACCATATCAAAGAAGTTAAAGTCCATGTGTTAAAAGTGAAATTACTTTGAAAGTTAAACTAGTACTAGAACAAAATCGTATGTACTGGACTATGTATTACAGAAATTATAATCAGACTGTGCTATAGGTTTAACGATTAAAATCTAACCACTAAATTACTTACACAAAATAATTTCTGGTGTGTAGTTTTACTTGATTTATTATAACTATGGAGTACAAACAGCACAAGACAGTATGAATTGAGGTTTCAAGGAGGTAATTTATGGATTGTTAGATACCGCAATAGGGACCTGATCTGATTTAATAGTGTGATATTTCATTATTCTTGATACAACAAGTAATTTCATTGGGGTCGTTTTAACATGTTAGCTTTGAATGTAACAAATATGTAAGAGTGTGATGTACTAAAGTCTATGGATAAGAATTGTAGTTGATACAAAAAATAATGTAAATACTGAATTTTATATGTATTTTTTATTGTTACTGCATATGCGTTTAGCACTATATAGTATGGTCTTTAGAATACAAATTTTTGTAAGGGATCATAAGCTGAGTTTCATGAGATAATTAAATTGTTTTTTTAAACAAATAACGAAGCCGTTCAGTAGGTAAATACTAGAGTTAACCATTGTGAATAAAGATTCCGTTTCATTAGTTCACTTGTTTTGTTTGTTTATCTTTACCTTTCTTGTTCAAAAGTATTCTTTACAGCTATATAACATTTTCAGAACCTGCACTGTCTGCGTTCTCGGGACCGAGAGGTTAGGGGAAGCTCAGGTTGCTGTTGTATGACCTCTACTGGTTACGCACAACACATAGGAGCATGGGGTGGTAAAATTGGTCATGGTGGCATTGAGTAGCTTAAAAATCCCGAGACTTACTGAGATAACCTCTGTAGGATCTCAGGTACTCGTTAATTAGCCCTAATCGTTATGGCCGGGATTAAATGATCAACCAGCAGTTAGGATAGATAGTCAGGTGGTTCAATAACACAGGCCTGCGATGGTTTTATTGTCTCGATATTTTTACATGTTACTACAGTAATTCCTGTACGCTGAATCCGAAAATGATATCCGTTTTACTCCATCACGTACAGATTTTTCACAAAACGTCATAACGCAATACATAAAAGAAAGACCACAACACGTAGTTTTGAGACTAAAAGACGTAGATTTCACACAAAAAAAAATCAGGATGAATGAGGATGCATGTTCGTTTAACACCAATGTTCTTCCCTTTTCTTCAGTTTGTTTGTATTTTTGTTAACAAACAATAATAAAAAAATTTTCATTGTGGTAAACGAAATAATAATTGGATATAAGAGTTATTTTTCCCGATCTGTAAAAAATCCTTACGTGATAGGAAAAAAAAAGAATATTATTTTCGAAATCTGCGTAGCAGAATTATGGAAAATCTGTTATTAAAACCAAAACAACTTTTATGAAGTTTAAATTCGCAGGCCTGTGTAATTAATGACTGAAAAGAAATGGCATTCCATGCTTTCTAAACTAAATTGTAGTGATGTCGAGGATAACCTATGAAACTCACTAGGTACATAGTTAGGACACACGATGTTCTTAGATAAGATTATTCTTGATCCAGTCTTTTTTCATGTGCAGACATGTTCTAAGCCTTCTCTATACGCAAACAACCAATCTGAGTTACAATGAATAGAGAAGTTGTCCATTAAGTAAGAGACTCGAATATATATTATGAATAAATACATTGTTTTATTTGTTCGCGCGTATATTTTCTTTTCTTTTCTTATCCGTGTTCGAAATTATTCTTTGCGTAACATTTCTGAAACCAGACGGATATCATGTACCTGAATACCACACGATTTGTATTAAATGATAACATGTAAGAATAACTTTCTCGTGTATATCAACTAATTTAAGCATCAGGCCACTGCTTAGCACTTCAAGGTGAGTAGACATGACATTGTATATTGTGATGTTAATCCTACATTTGGGATGAGAACATTCTCATAACTACTGTGTTTAGCAGAAGCACACCGCACCCATAAAATCAAGGGAAGTAGTTAGGCTTACTTATTTGCCACAAAAGTCAATGGAGCTAAGATACAGCATCGAGAGAGTTTTAGTAAAAGTCAGCCAATAAATTACAAAAAGTCTCAAGTAGTCATTATATTGTAATGGACACCTACTAGTCCTAGGTAGTTAATATTCCACAATAGTAATACACTAGAACAAACATCAGTTTAACATAAAAAAAGTCAAAGTAGTAACTCGGTTACCTACTAGTCCAAAATAACGAGTATACCGTAACGGTAATCTATTAATCCAAAGTAATCAGTTTAATGATGTGGTAACTTACTAATCTAAGATACTTAGTGTGCCGTATTTTGTAATCAACCAATCCAAACAAATCAGTTTATCGTAATGGTCAATTATTGATGAAAATATGAGTTATACCATATTGGCTTGTTTATTTTAGAATTTTTACGCATAGCTTCACAAGTCGTATATGCCCATAGCTGTCGCCTATTTTGAAATATATTAAGAAAGGTAGCTAATAGACATCACCCACCGCCAATCTTGGACTACTCTTTTCTGATCAGATATTGGCATTTGACCGCCACTCTTATAAGACACCTCTGGCTCCAACTTGCTGAGCAAGTTTTTCCGTCAACGGAACTCGAACCATGTATCATTGTATCAACAGTCTGAGCACGCTAACTATTCACTTAGGCCACTACCGTGTTGTTAATCAAGTTATTTAATGTAACAATCATTATGAACAAGAAGAGTCTTAGGCTAACACTAACATTCAATGAATCAAAACATCACAGATTTTTTTTTCTCGTACTTATAAATGAGTCTTACTTTTTAGCAGGCTACTAGTGACATAGTGGTAAGTCTACGGACTTATAGCGCTAGAAACTGAGTTTCAATACCCGTGGTTGGAGCAGCCCAAATAGCCCATTGTTTAGCTTTGTGCAGGCTTAGTAATTTCACACTTCCTATATACATTATGTACAGGAATATCACTGACTTTAAGAAAACTGATAAATTTGTTTGAATACTGAATACGGTTAGCATTTGACAATTAACTTCAGCGTAAAATTCAGTTATCTACGCCTATAATTTAGTTGTGTCTTGACTTCCGACAATCGTGCAGCCCATAGTAACATGCTATGCTATAAATGTTTTGCATTCAGAGTTCTTTCCATGCTCTAATTTAAGGTTCAAATATAAATGCTTAATTGTATTATTGTTTCCTATAAATATAAGCCCATAAAATTCGAAGACCCTTGACACCTTGCGTGATTTAGTGGTATTTCTTCCTACTACATGTCTAATATAAGTTGGTGGTAAAGAAGTAGTCATTAATCGGTGTATGGCACCTTGCATTATTAATTAGTTGTCTTTTTTCTTTCTACTACATGTCTAATATAAGTTGGTGGTATAATACCAGTAACTAATCAGTGTATGGCACCTTACGTTATTAATTAGTTGTCTTTATTCCTATTTCATCTTTTATATACGTTTGTCCATACACTGATTAGTAAATGATGTTCTACCGTAGAAAGACAGATACAACTGATTAATAACGCAAGGTGTATAAGAGATGTTGTAGAAAGACAGATACAACTGATTAATAACGCAAGGTGCCATACACTGATTAGTAAATGATGTTCTACCAACAACCTGTATAAGAGATGTTTAGGTTGTTGGTAGAACATCATTTACTAATCAGCGTATGGCACCTTGCGTTATTAATCAGTTGTATCTGTCTTTCTACAACATCTCTTATATAGGTTGTTGGTAGAACATCATTTACTAATCAGTGTATGGCACCTTGCGTTATTAATCAGTTGTATCTGTCTTTCTACAACATCTCTTATATAGGTTGTTGGTAGAACATCATTTACTAATCAGCGTATGGCACCTTGCGTTATTAATCAGTTGTAGCTGTCTTTCTACAACATCT